GTCCTTGGACCCTTAGGGCTAGCTACTGGGGATTAGCAAGGCTGGTTATGGTTTGGTTTAGGCTTGATTGGGTTTTGAGGTTGGGGTTTAAGTTCGGGCTCGGTAAGGTTTCAGTTTTTAGGCCAGGGTTTACGGATTAGTTAGGATTTGGGTCAGGGTTTGGGATGAGGGGTTTCTTAGGGTTTGGCTTTAAGCTTTAGATGGGATTGGGGGTTAGGGTTTAGGGTTGGGCTAGGATTTGTTAGGGTTTGGGCATAGTGCTGAGCTTGGAATTTCTAGGGCTTGCGTTTCGTCCAGGTCGTGTTAGTTGGCACCTATTAGTGCGTGGGCTAAGGGTTTAGTTTGGGTAGGGGTTTAGGGCTCAGCTTTGGCGTCGCTAGGCTTTGTTAGTGTGTGGGTTTAATGTTGCTGGCTTGCTCGGCTTGATGGGCTTTATCTGGCTTCGGGTTTAGGGTGAAGTTCGCGCAAATTAGGATTTGGTTAGGCTGTATTAAGGTTTGGGCAGATGAAGGCTTTTACGGAGGTAGGGCATATGGGCTTAGGGAGTTTAGGGCGGGACTTCAGGCTCTTGGCTTAGGGAGCTTAGGGTGTGGGATTTAGCAGGGCTCTGGGGAGTCTTGATGAAGGTTTTACCCAAGTTTTGTAGCTTATGGTTTACGCGTGATATGGTGGTTCGTGGACTTGAGGATACTACATAACCCTGAACCCAACTGAAGGTCCTGTGCCCCAATTTTGCATCCAGGGGGTTCTCGGTAAAGATTTCTGGGACGGAGTGGAGCCCGATACTGATCTCCATGATCCCCATTGATTTGTTCTTATCTATGTTACTCCTCTTTCCCTCTTCAATACCCGTAAGGTTAGCTTGGACCCGCAGACAACAGTACCTGCAGCAAAAGCCTATGTACTCCAGAATGCAGAGCGGATGAAAAGGTTCTAGACGTAGACATAAAGTGTACGTACAAACAAAATCCGACTCCCCATGTAATAGGACGACTAGGACCCCAGAAAAGGAACCCAGAAATTCGACAGACGCCTATTTCTCCCTTTGCATCTGGGCTCCCCATGTCCCCCTAAACCCTGAGCCGTTTAAACCCTGAACCCCATTTCCGTTTTGGTTTGCAAATCCAGGTGGCGGGAGAGCGGCTGAGAAGCTCCCCGCGCGTTCGCGGCAGCTCCTGTCTCCACTTTCTGGGGCTTTAGAGTTTTAGAGTTTAGCGCTTAGGCTGTACGTGCCACCCTACACTAACAACGGAACTTACCCTGAAGTAGACCCTAACTTGAGGGTGGGAGGTGGCGGGTGGACATAGTTGAGGATCCTTTGTCTGCAGCGTAAGGCATGCGGAAAAAAGGTCGCTGCCTGATTCCTGCTTGGGGCCCTAGCCAGCCAGGGATCAAACTGCATCGGCTAGGTTCAGAACTGGCGTCTCCAGACCTGCTCGTAGAGTCGTACTGTGGAGTAGCTATGCTAAAACGGACGTCAATCCATCATAAGCCTACGTACAGTCTTAAAGCCTTCTGGCAATAGGGTGCTTTAATTGGCCAAGCCTCCTTTGAAATGCGGCTGTGGCAGTACCACTATACTTCTGTAGCCTTGGGGTTTAGAGGTATATAGGGCTTATCTAGGGGTTCTATAGGGAGAATGGAAAAGAAAATGGAGATTCCTATTTAAGGGTACTGGGGTGTAGGGTCTAGACACATAAAAAGCCAAATGACCTCTCTGCTTCTTAGGCCTAACCTCGGACCTGCATAAGTGAGCACCCAAGTCATGAGCCACATGCTGCCAGCCGAACCCTGTGAGCATGAATACCACGAAGCCGAAACCTCTTTGATTCGAGTTCAGACTTCAGCTTCTGCAAATATGTATAGTGCCTGATGTCTGTTGTCAGTCCTATGTGTCACCACAGGAAATCCCTGACGGGATATCCTACAAACATCTCGAAGCTACAATGGTTGACCATGAAGCTCTGAAAGCCTACAGGGTAAAGCCTCAATATCTACAGCTAGATCATGCCGACATGTACGGCTGGCCAGCGAGAGTCCTCGCGTGTTCTGATCAACAAAACTACGCGCTTGCGACTACACCCTAACGCCCAAGCGCTGGTCCTAGCTGCTGAGTTCTCCCAGAAAAGAATTTTGAACATGGTCAACAGTTTTGATGATTGTAGGGGTGTGAATCAGTGTAAATACCCCCAAATGCTTAGCTAAAGGCTACCTGGACCCCAAAAGTCCGTGAAATAATAGCCCAAAACCCTTAGAAATAGCCCAAAAGGCCATTATTCTACATACTTTTAGGGCTCAGGTACCTGCAGCTACCTAGCAAGTAGTCTTGGCTAGCAACTTCCAAACCTTCAACCGCTCCTCCTCGGCAATCCGCTTTGGGTACAGCTGCGGGAAGTAGGGGCCTGCTGCAGAGGCTTCGTGGTTTAGGGGTTTAAGGCTTAGGTCAAGTTATCCCCCTCCCAACAAAACCATATCATTGGAATACAATAAAAACTTGACATATGTTCCATTATCCTGTTTGCTCACTAGTCATGGGGGGAGAGGGATAAACCAGGTTTAGGGCGTAGATCTGGCGGGGCCTGCAAAAGTCCAGTCGCAGAATGGATTCAGGTTGAGGCTTCAGGTCCAAAGTATGGTCCGGGTCCTGAAGCAATGGTCATCATACCGTAGGTGCTCAAAGATGCACCTGTTAACCATCTTAACTGAAAGGCCAATAGAATCAGTCCAAAACACGCAAGAGGGTTGCTGGTGCGAAGTTTAGGGTCAACCGGCTCAACTCCACCTGCCGAAATTATGACGTCTGCAGGCTACACCCAAAATCCAACAAGGTTTGGTCAAGGCTCCCCAGCACCCCACAACTCCCTATCCTGTAAGTTGGCCCCAGCCGTCTGATGTGGGCGTAAGACCGTGTGTGAAACCTGTGAGCTGACTTAAGGGTCCCAAGCTCCTGATTGAAGGTCCTTGAATCCATCCGACACAGGGAGTAGTAGGGTTTAGGGAATCTTGGTTGAAACCTGGGGGTACTAGGGATTTGCCTCATTTGCAAAAGTGTCGGCATTGGGGTGATTTCAAGGCAGCCTCACTCGTGCCCGCCTGCCACACTTGCCCCACTTGCCCAGCTGCCCTGACACACCTCTGGATCCTCTACCAAATCGGGCGACTGGGGCGGTGTGACTTGACAGGCATGCTACGAAACACTAAATTCCTATACAGCTAAATTCTGGGGACTACATGCTACAAGCCTATAACCTGGTTGCACATCAAGTTCTTCCCCCCCCTGGCCCTGGCCCCCTAAACCCTAAACCCTAAACCCTAGCAGTCGAAGCGAGCCTCCAATGACCTGCCCTGGCTCCAGCGAATGACCCGCCACGTCGCTGATGGAGCTTGCGGCCCCACGGGAGGAGTAAAGAGCTCCTGAACCCCAAAGAACAGCTCCCCCAAACACTCTCTACAAAGCCCAAATAACCCCAAATAGTGCTCCCGTGAAAGTTTAGCATGCGAGTTTGATAGCACATTCATATAAATGGGGCTTGGCCGCTTCTGGTTGAGGTTAGGCTTGAACTGTGCTACGAATTCCAACCTTTTTCTCTTGAAGTTTGCAAGTTGAGAGCTGGGCGTCAATGTTGGCAGCGTTGACTATAAGGAACATGCTGAAATGCGATAAAGGCTTAGAATGGGACCTTCTGGATAGTATCTCGTTCGCGAACACTGGAAGGATTAAGGACTGTTGCAGGAGGGAGCTGTGGGTTCGCCTCAGCTGAAATGGAGCACAATACGGAACTGAGGTGCAGAGGTTAACAAACAACAGCCACAACCCCAGACCTATGCAGGGATATTGGCATAATATCTATAACAGCAAGTACAAAAGACAATATGATACTAACTGCTAACAGCTTCGGCTATTCCCTACTGTACCCCAGACCAGGCAAGGCCTCATGCAAGGGATTGGGAGGGGTGCTCTTTTAGGGCGTTGGGTTCTAGATTGGGGGTGAGGGGAGTAGGTCTGCGGGGATTCTAGCTGTCTTGCAGCATCACAATCGAGAAGAGGTTCGCAAACTCCAGGGCAGAAATGTCCCCCTCTGTGTCTCCAGTGCTCAAGGCTAAAAACTTTCAGGTCCAAACTCTGCGACCCTTCATTGTAACACGCATCCGACTTGCCTTTGCAAGCCATGGTGCCACTGTGAGCCCGCCGCCTCAATGGGAGGATGCGTCCACAAAAAGAATGAAGAGACTGGACTGGATTTTTGCACGCATCTCCCTGAGCCTCAACAAAGAAGCTGTGACATCTGCATAAGATGGGACAAAACAGGGAATCGCTTGTGGTGATAGGGAGCTTGGGGATCGAAGGACCACCGGTCCTCTGCTGTATGGCACCGGAAAAAGATGTTCAAGCTTCATGCTGATATTATCAGCCCTCTCCTGCTTATTATCGCGTGGGTGAAGTGCAGGAAAGTGGCTGAGTGCCTTCGGGCCACTGTCCTGACGGATGGGGGCCTTACTTCAAGCGAATCAACACACATTGGCTCAAGAAGTCCGAAGAGTTTGCGCCTACGGCAAATTCATCAGAGAGTTCCAGCTACCCGATGGCAGTCAACAAAGCACATGTTCTTGGACGGCTGCAACCTCAAAAACTTACTGGGGCTTACTAGGGAGTAAGGGACTACATTCTAAAGGGATGGTACAGGGATTGTATTCCCTCATTCCCTACTGAGAGCCAATCTCTGCAGCCTTTTCTAGTCTTGAACCTTCCAGGCACCCAAATAATCGCGCATATTTGCCCTTGACCTGGATGCTCAAAATGCGGCTGGGCGTCAAAAACGCAACCTATGAGCTTGTAGCGAAACCAAATCGCAAAAAAAATCTCAGGCCGCAGTTTAAGGTATAGGGTTAAGTGGAGGCTTTAGGGTTTAGGGTTACGTGGGAGCTATTGGAAGCGAGAGGCTGGAGCTTCAAACCTGATCCAGTCTGAATGCCCTCCATTCATCCCGTTTCATGTTCCCTCCATCTTTCACATTTCGCTGCTTGACAGAACTAGGTTCGTGTCAGACCCTCCCAGCTAATCCCCAGAAAGGGTCCCGCGAGGGAGCAACTCCTGCACCCTACTCTTGATGGAGGAAATCTTGAACCACCTAAGGTCCTTAAATTGCTGTAATTCCTAGTACTTCAAGGACTCTAAGTGGTGCAAAATTTCCTCCATCAACAATATAAGCCCCCCTAGCACTCGTAAAACTCCCCACGCAGCTTCCAGTTCGAATAACTCCTCAAGGCCTAGAGGGCCTTTACTGGGAACCCCAGACAGGGAACCCCAAGAATATAGTAGGAATATAATAGGAATATACCTACCAGGGTCCTTATGTGCTAGTTATAGTCCTATTATATTCTTGGGGTTCCCTGTTTGGGGTTCCCACAGTCCCTTTAACTCCCATGTGCAGCAAGGCTCGGATTTGATGAATCGTCCGGGTATTCCTGGGCTCTTCATCTTAGAAGCTTGCTTCCGTCTTTCTTACTGGTTGTTAGTAGGGAATAAGGGAATACAGTCCCTGTATATTATTTCCCTAATTCCTTACTAATAAGGGAATATAGTCCCTGTATACTTTATTCCCTAATTCCCTACTAACCACCAGTAAGCTTTCCAGTAAGAATCTGCTTGTTGGGGTAAGCGTGAACAAGCAACAATAAGGGCCTGGTGAACATATATAAATATATACATATACATCTATGTAGTTTCAAGTAACCAAAATGCCTCATGATCTTCTGCCCTTTAAAACGCACATGTGATACGGCGTTACAACAACACCCCAAGAACGACCACAGTGCAAGAATGAAGTGACTTGTGTTTCATTGAGTGGAGGTCTGCTTATCTCTCTATATGCATGGTGCTTATGATTCCCCGCTAACGTAGCACCTTCTGAAGGAGCCTGCACAAGCACCAATATCATGCTGAGGTCTGCTTGAGCAGAACCCATATCACAATTTAACCAGCAATATAGTTGACTATGTAAACCATTTAAGTCCCTGTATTATCATGTGTTATTTCAAGGATTCCAGCATCGGCTCTAGGTGTAGGTCATGGGTACGGCATGATCAGGAGGGAGGTCCAAAGCACAAAGAAATGCAAGAAAACCCAGGGGGGGACAGGAGGGTACAGCTGTAACCCCAAACAAGCGCTGCTAGAAGCCGCCTAGCAGTCCCCTTTAGAACATCTACTATGAAAAGAGTAATACGTGAGGAGGTCAAGCGTTTCTTTGCTAGCCAGCCTTCCTCATGGCAAGGTGAATCTATGTGAGTTACTGTCTAAACTCCTTCAAGGGGTCATATGGGGGGATTATATAGGGCTATTATAGGGGTTCTCAAGGAGGATACTAGGAGTTTAGATCAAAGCTCATATGCTGACCAAACCCGTCTTGATCCTGCTGGCGTCTTGAGGCCCTGCACAACTCAAAACCAGCTCAACAAAGCATGCTTCCTCAAGGTACACCTGGGTATTCAGGCCATAGTATTACATGGACCCTAAACAACGCCCGTCCATATGAGATTGGCTTACACAGCCCCTGCTCTGAGTCCCAACTCTCCAAGCGAGGGACAAAAAACAAGGAGACTGCATCATATGAGCCATAGTCTCTGGTATCCCCATCAGCATCCTCCAAAGTAGTCCGCTATATAATGCCCTCGAAGGAGTTTAGACTATAGCTCACATTTGAAATCCATACGTCATGTCTAAATTCTGCTAGAAATTTCAGAAGGCTCCAACACAACCCTAAACCGCCACGATTCCAGACGATGAGGTCGCCGGGTTCTACCACGTAGTCAGTGCACTTGCTGAACCTGCAACGTGGTCTTTGCTACCCGTCCAGTTCATGGGTTTGAAGGGTTGAAAATTGGGCGTAGCATCGATCAGAATGCTGTGAGAAGTTGCCAGGGTACAGGCCCCACGTGTTCAAGCGCCTGGAAAGCCAAAGTCCATGTGTCTATAGCGGGGTGGAGAAGCCTAGCCGTGGCCCAGAAAGGCTGCGGGAGGCGTGCACCGGAAAAACTCCCTGATGGGCAGACCCCCTTTCAAAAGCGATCCAGAGAAGTCAGAGAAGTTAAGCCTAGAGCAATGCCGGCACATCGCAGAGTGAAGTTATTTCCCGCAGTCCCTCAGACTGAGGGCCACGTGAAAATGACAATTCGATAGTGGGCCTGCGGAAAGCGGATCACCCCTGTCCACTACTATCAAAATATTCGGCCTGCGACTCGCTAAGCTGCCCAAGTGGCGACATCAGACAACACAGGAGCAATGGTCTAAACTGCTTAAGGAGGGTTATATAATATGGGATTATATAGGTCAGCATTTTCAGTATTATAGGGGGTTATTCAGGGGATACTGGGAGTGTAGACTATAGCTCAAGTGACCAATTTTCTTGAGTAAGAATCCTCCCTACCCTCCTGAGCAGAAAAAAAAAGCTACCAAGTTCACCTATACTGCATGATTACAGTACTAGACTCGGAACATGCTTCTGCATGTTTATAGACATCTGTATGTAAACGTGTACATTAACATACTATATACTGATGTGTGTTATTCGGACGTTTTGACAAGTCCTGCTGACATGTACCGTCTCTGTGACATACCCTGATCGTGGATGCATGATCAAAATTCGAATTCGGAGCTGCAACTCTAAACCCGTCACCCTGCCTTCAAAAGAAGCCCAGCCCCTGTTATTCCACAACATTTGCCCCTTAGAAGCGGTATTCAGCAAGGGCTTCCGAGGAAATGTCTGTCAAGATCCCCTTAGGCCCCCATGCTCCACCTAATTTATGACCATAAATTTCCCAACGATGTTTGACACGGCTGGGTGCCCCTGGTCTGCTGCACACTGCGGTCCTGTTGTACATTTTCAGTGGAGTGACTTGGACCTACCAACGCTTCTCATCTCAGCCCGTTCTGATTGCTAACAGCTGACACTCTGAACCCAAGCATCTGAAGCCAAAACCTGGAAACTTAAAGCCGCAGACTCTAGGCCCCTAGCCCACACCACGGCACTGGAAGGTGGAAAGGGCGCAGCTTCAATCGAGGTACTGCGCAAGATCCCCAGAGGATAGGTCAACGGCTACCGCGTCAGACACGGAAGTGTTGCGGTGGGAGCCAAGCAGGTACTCCTTGGGAGGCTCACATGCAAAGTAGGCACATTTAAAACACCCGTGTTCTTCCTCGGGGTTACAGGTCACAACGCCAACCTAGCAACATTTGCTCCAGGGTTTGAGCCCCAAGCGATATAGGGCTTTCGGATTAAGCTTTTGGGGCTCAGATCTTGATAGGCAATCACGGAGTCGGTTCCTGGAATTGACCTTGGACCCTCGGCCTTTGACCAAAAACCTAAGCCATAATTCCACGCTGACCGGTGCTGAGGTCAACAGGTCAACTTCTGCCGAAAGCCCGAAAAGGGTCATCTTGAACCGACAAGCCGTCCCAAACCCTAGCACAAAAACTACGTACTATGACTACTATTTTCTTACTCTTCTTACTATTATAAAACGATACCAGGCCCGCTCTGAAGCTCCGCATGAATGCAGTCCAAGCCTCGGGCACGCCAACCTTGCCCTCTCCGCACTTATCCATAGCCACCCACCAGCGGATCGCCTCGTACTACAAACCGCTACCTTAAAGAATAAATGGACCTGGACAAGTTCTGTTTTCCCAAGCTGTAATTCAGGTCAAACGAAGTCAGAGCATGGACTGGTTGCTCTGCACTGTTGTGGAGTTGTCTCACGAGTCCACGCTGCCAAGTATACCACGCGGCTTGTGCATCAGAAGCTTCACACGTCGCTGATGGATGGTCATGAATTAACCGGACTGAAGTTGACAGACATCAAAGTCGCACACAGCAGGCCAGTCAAGGTGCACTTGCCCGAAAAAAGGGAGAGCACCCAACAGCCGTCACAACTACATGCAAGACCCCTCAAGCAAAAGTTGCACGATTTGAAGTGGACCCAAACTTCCGACAACATTTTGTTGCTGCCAAAACGCGTAGTCCGCCTCTATGGGGCCGTTCTGGTTGTCCTGGTGCCATCCAATTCCATCCTCATGGCGCCAGTCAGGGTAATACCTAAACCCTAGAACCCTAACCTTATGCGATGTTTCAACCCCTGCCGCGCCCTTCTCAAGCCTGCTACTCCATCCTGGATGCCTGCATAGCCGACATACATGCCCATGTGGAGATTATGTTCGAATAGCAAGGGAACACCTTCTCTTGTGTGCCTGTGGGTTAGCACCTCCTGACAACAACGGTTCAGGCAAAAGGGCTGAAATGGTCCTTGCTTCCTCGAGCTGTAGGTTAAACAGTGCCTATGTAGGCAGGTCGACCTCATGCATGGTTTATATAGACATTGCACAAACAGGGCCTTTTCGAAGGTTCGTGAACTATTCCTTGTGTACCGCCCCCACCCGGTAGCAGTTGGATGACTTGTAGGGCCCTTCATATGATCCTCCTCATAGTCCCTGCACGCCCTAAACCCTACCCAAACTACGTGACCTTTATCATAGGCTGCTGCCGGGTGGGGAGCAGGACTCAAACTGTGTATCGTTGGCCACCACAAGTTGAAAGAATAGATCAGTTTAGGGTTTCAAGGCTGCAGCTCATGAACCACATTAGAAAATTCCAGGGGAAGGGGCCCTCCTCAAACTCACATAGAAGGAATTGGAAAGACTCGGTGTTCAGGGCTTTTTTGGCCTGAATGCAGAGTAGCTAAGCAGATTTAGGCTTACCCGAAGGGTCCAAGTACCCAATAATCGAGTCTTCCCCAAAACCTGTAGCACAATTTCTAGGTACCACAATCAGGTACGGACCGACCTTAAGGTTAGGTTGTTAAAGAATCCCTATCGGTCCAAGGACGCAAATAATAGGGTTTTAAGGCCCAAATACTATAATATGAATGGTATTTGGGCCCTAGAAGCCTATTACTTGGGTCCCTGGACCCTTAGGGAA